TTGCTGTGACCAAATCACCTGGAATGTGCCCCCATCCCCTTATGAAAAGCCAATCAGGGTGGAGCCAGGATCGCCTGGATGGGTGACCACCATGTTCCAATGGCAGGTGCAATAGGCATTGTGGGCAGCAGAGGGCAGTGTAGAAAATGTAATTGATCTATACCACCCCACCTTCACTAACTCACACTGACAAGCCTGGTGAAGTATGGTCGAATAACCCTCACTGGTTGCACGGTGTGGGGAGGAGGCACTCACCCTGCAGTGGATTGACACACAGCTGTACATGTTGCAATTAAATATTTCCTTTACCGGGATCTTAAACATTACGAGACAATTCAAATATTTGTGCCCAAGTGAAATAATTCATGTTTCTAACCATAAACTTTATCAAAAAAAGCTATATGTCAAACAAAGGTCACTCGTCACATCGTGTTCTTGCCGTGCGTCAGTCGACCCAAACGCTGTCCAGAGGGATGTAATTGACATTGAGAGTGAGAGATAGGCTTCACATTTGGCATATTTGGCATTTTGAACACTTTTGAGGACATTCGTCAAGATCCAATTGCTTGACTCGCCCCGATCTCGTCTGAGCACCCGGAGATCAATGTGGGATCGCCCCGCGAGAGGCAATTGAATGAAGCGGAGTCAACTGAAGGCCGCTGGCACGCGCCACCGTGCAGTTCTGCCCCCAACGACTCCTCGTGAAAATCCCATCAGTGGGTGGCTTTGTTCAGCAAAAAACAAACGGTGGTGGCTCCAACCGACCGCTGCGGAACGGCGACCGCTACTCTGCTGCGTGCGCCTGCATCTCCGACTAGCACGGATGGCTATGTACGGTGCGAAAGAAGTTCACCATACGTACAAGTGGGGCATTAAAGATGACGTCCCGCAGTGCGGCGACTGTGGCCACTAGAACCAAACGATGGAGCACATCGCAAACCAACTGCACCCTGCGCCCGCTCCCCGGCGCACTCGACAGTGTCAGTCGCGTCACTCCCGAAGCGATCGCATGGCTCACAAACATAAACCTGGATGTACAATTGACGCCTGCTTGCCACAGCCAAACTTGCCGGAAGAGTTTGAATGCGCTTATCGTGGGAGTTATACGAAAGTGTAAGTGTACGATAGTGTCTGCGCGCGTCCACGCATGCCTTCCGAGATTGTTTAACATGTGCACCAATCACTCTCGCACAGCCTCCCTCCCATAGTGCTCTCGTTGTGATGAGAGGACACTTGAAATTTCATCACTGCTACACAGGTTTGTGCAACATACATACAGCACTAACCGATGGGAAGTATGGTCAATTGAACCTAAGGACCAACACGGTTTGAGGGGTCCTTCATCCAGCAGTGTTTTTTTTTTCCGGTTGCCGAACGAATACATTACTGAGGTCGCACTCATCACACACAGAGTGATTGCCACAAATGAACCACAATAGCTTGCTGATCTCGTCAAGGAGCATGAACCAACACGCGAACTCTGGTCATCCTCGCAGCAGCGGCTTTTGGCTAGCTATCGCACAAAGACGGTCACCGCATCGCGCACTTTCAGATGCTCTTCTGTGCCCTTCTAGAATCCCCCACCTTCTGATATTAGGAAGTTACTGGAGCTGTGCACCCTTACATTCCTAAAGAACTGCACTTTGTGTGTTTGATTTGTTGTCCTTCCCCCTGCACCGTTGGTTACTTACAGTGCGAAAGAAGTTCAACATACAAAGGACTGAAAGGAGAATGCTTCTACCCTACTGATAGTAATTGCTGTGTTTGTTTAAACAACTAAACAGTGCTCATCTTTCAAGTACCAAGCCCTAACCTGTGCTGGAAATTCCACATGACTTTTATGACCCCGCCATTCTTGTATAATAATATAATTGTTTAAAACAGACAAGGCAATACATATTGAGAAGTGGACATTACAACTCATGTATCAATGCAACAACCCAGAATACCTAAGTATTGTTGTATTTTGGTATAAATAAGGTTCTTTAAAACATAAATAAAAGCAACAAAAACATTTGGCGTCCAGTCTGGCATGGATCAATGGTGAAAAGCACAGAGCTCTGACTTTGGAAATAACAACAACCGCCATTCGCCACTTTGTGGCGGTGGCGTCACCTCGGCGCTTGTGCCAGGCTATGTGCACTTTAAGGCCACGTGAAGTGTCGAACACCGGCTGGCATGTCACGGGAGAGACCCAGGTACCATCGGTTTACCGAATGAGATGACCGGCCGATGCACCACCTGTGCCCCCTACTGTGCAAATTTGCTGTGCTTTAGCCACCCGGCGCTCCGCTCGCTGTTGTGAGCGTCGCTCCTCCGCCCTCCGTTGTTGTTGGAGGGCGACTGCCTCCATCTGCCCAGTAGCGTCCTTCACAAGCCTCCTCCACAGAGGCCAATCTTAACTCTGCTGGTACCAGTCATCGACAAATCTACTCAGCTTCACTCAGCCCCACATCCCCTTGTACATCATTCCAAATAACAACAACAACAACGCAAACGTCGTGCTCGCAAAAAACGGGAAGCCACCAGTCTCATCATGCCACCAACCTGTTGGTCCCAGCCCACATGCATATTGCTGCTGCGATGGGATCTTCTCATTTACAGAACGTGTTTGATTTGAAGATTTCAAATGTTGCTGGTGATAATGCTGGCTTAGCTCTCGGGCAGGAATGGAGGAACTGCCTAAAGGAGGCAGAGGCTGCAAAATAATCTGGTTCGGTTCACATCTTCACACGTCCGTCGCCTAACAACATTTCGCTTTCATACGGTGTTTCCTATTTTAACTCGGAGCCATTTCGTAGACAATCCCACAGCCTATTGTCCTTGATGTGAAAGTGCCTTGAGATTTCATGAAAGGCACTATATAAGCTGTAATCATTCTTCTTCTTCTTACGTTATAAATTAATAGAATACAAAACTTGTGAAAGTAGGAACTTGGGGAGTTTGATAAATGATGTCAGTTAGGGTAAACTATATTGAAACTTTACACAGCTTCTCGGTTGTTTTTTTTAAGTATTCAGATGCGCAACACAAGCTATGGCAAAGGTGTTAAAACCAAGATGGGAAAAGTGAATGCAATATTTTTTTTAAAGAAGAAATATTATCTGGAAAAGCAAGGGACTGAATACAATGACCAAAAAAATGTGTTTATACAAAGAAAGTGGCAACTAACTACCTTATACTTTGCTGTACCCATCAGAAATAAGTGCATAAGATGGTGGAAAACGCTCAATCCAGTCACATTTAACATGGCCTCACAATTACATAATTAATTAGTGATCGCTGGAAGTAACAAACCTAAAATTACGCCAGTGCAACTTTAGTTATTTTATGAACAAAGTATTTGACTTTCCCTTCTACTCTACATAATATTCCATCATGAAAGAGTATTTTATATATATATTTTAAAAAACCTCCATGTTCATGATCACTTGAGATATTGGCAAACAGGACTGACATGGTACCACAGACAAGACACAGCGTTGACTATATTCAAGCCCTCGTTTTTCTTTTAAAAGGACTTAATATGTTAAGGAGTTCTTACATGATAAAGAGAGACACGTGACTTAATCCAAATGATTCATCAGACACCTGCAGATTCTACGAGAACGAGCAACATAGATCGAATCTGCCAACGACTAGCTATCATTGCAGTGTGTTCACTCCTCTTCAGAGATGGTCGTGAGATCTCAATCTTCAACGTCAGATCAGGTTTGCTTGATTTGCTATCTTTGTGAGCACCTGATACTTTTCATGGCTTTTTTGACATGCGCGCAAAACTACTCGATGCTCCTTCCTGTTTTATTACATTTCTAAGTGACTTAAGTGTTCAAAGTACTAAGCTGGCACAGCTAAATTCCTGATCTCAAATCCAGGCGGCCGCCTCTGATTAAACCGTGTTCTGATGGGCTTTCTTATGATTTGAATAAAACCTGAACAGAAAACCCCGTCAAATTTAATTAGTTTTGCACGTGATTTTGGCTAAATTGCAATTCAGTGTTAAAAAAATATATCAGTCTGATAGTTGCACGATGAACATTATTCTCTTGCAGGGAGGTTGAGCAAGTGCTGTCCCCCTTGTGTGGATTAGAAGTGACTTTAAGGGACCTCAAAACTATTTCTGTGATATCCATTTTTGCAGGCCGTGCCTCTGCCCTACGAGAGTTCCCAATTGGTTTTCGTCTTGGGACAAGATGCTACAACAACACAATCAGGATAGAATTTTGGAAAAAGAAGGAAATAGAGAACAAGATACTATTTTTTTACCTGAAATACCTAATCTTGATTTGAAGCTTTTGTGACTGCAGGAACCCATACTCTTTGGTTCTTTCGGTAAAGTCACATAGGTAGAAAAAAAATTTTATTTGATTTTTCTACCTACGTGACTTTACCGAAAGAACCAAACAGTCTAAAATACCTACTTCCTGAAACGTATAACACGTGTCGGTTCAAACGCTATATCAATTTGCCGGTGCTTGCTTTAAAAGGTTGTGACCATTGACGTATAGGTTATTCTATAGATGGCATTATTACATTGGGAACATTGTAATAAATACAACTTCACGCATATAGATGTTTTAATATTACAAAGGATTACTTTGTGATATTGTCCTGATGAAGGTTCATTCACAAGATATTCCAGTAGCATACCGTGGCAAATGTGGCCCAAAGAGGTGAAGGGTTATGGGCTTTTTTACAGTGAACGCACGTGTGTGGAAAGCAGTATGGTTAACGGATTTAGCGTATTAAAATTCCAAATCATGACTAGCTTATTCTATGCCAAAACGAAACGTGGTCTTGGAAAATGCACAATGCATATTGGTACGATTGTGGGAGCAGTTGCAGAATTAAAATCAGTTTCTGTATTTATATTGGAGGAATCCGATAAGCTTTCAAGCTCTTTTCACAGATGTCCAGCAGTTTTATACCTGGCCATGGGTGACGTCAGTGGCAAGAGATTTATGAACTGGTCCTGGATACATATATACATAGATATATACCATGCCCCATTCACCAACCAGCACTAACCAGCACGGTGAAATATTGCCAAACGGTCCCCATTAATGACACGGCCCGGGGATGCCTCTATCCGGGAGCAGGTTGACAACGGGCTACAAATGAAATGATGAAACTTAAAAATGCTAAAAAGTACAAAAGGATAACTTCGCGCTGGGTAAGGTTGTGAGGCGCATGCACCTCATTTTGAGAAAACTGCCAAGCGTGGCGGACGAATGGTGCCCCGGGCAAGGCACAGCAGGCAAGAGGCCGAGGCTGGTGCTCCCCTTAAAACGCCCAGGAGAAGAGGGGGGAAAAATGGCATGCTGCATTTGACTCGAATGTCCGGGTGTATCCACGCCAGCCCTGAAGGAGCCAACTCTCACAACTGCCCCGTTCACTTCCAGTCACAAGCAATTGCGATCGCAAATCTGTACATTAACTAGACTAAGACGTTCAATAATGTGCAGTTTTAAAAAAAAAAACTTTAAAAGTTTTGTTTTGTTTTCTTGTGCCATTTTCCTTTTTTTTTCTCTCCAGGTAGGGGGTGGGTAGGGGTCAGGCCCCCAACTGGCCCCTAACGACCGGGTCAAAGTATCCCCGTGCGTAAAATGGCCAGCCTCTCCCCGTCGATGGTCCAGGGCCATTGGTGGAAATTCTACAACAGGGAGATGTGGAGGTTTTTTTGCAAATATGTCAGAGGTTATGGAGATCATCATCTAATTTTTCTTCAGTGCCAAAAAACGCATTATTTCATCGCGTATTTTTACATCTTCACAAGAAAGCGACGCATTTTTATAGATTTCTGCATTTTCAATGTGTGCCAAATGGAAGGGTCAACGAGCTTGCATCAGGGCTGATGGTCAGTTGGGATGCGAGATCGAAATGTCATAATTCCCTGACACAAGCTGGACAACAACAAAATATCAATCATATCCAGTCAAAAATAGGTAGAGGTGATAAACGTAAAAAAATTCGATTCCACTTACTAATGTGCGCATTTTTCTCATTGATTTTCAGAAATCACAATGATATGGGTAATTAAACACGTCACATTATGTATGATGTGACGTCACGTGATAGTCCACTTTGGTAGCCGATGAAAAAAGCTTGGTAGAAACTTAAGTAAACCAAACAAATTGATATAAACAGTCAGAATTACATGCTGGATAGCACCTACACATATATACTCACGTCACAGTTTTGTTGACAATTTGTGAACAGGTATAGTGCCAGTGTTATTACCATTTAGTTGCAGAGAGCATTTAGGAATGTCCACGTTTGTTACGTGTTTATCAGTGATTCGCTCCTCCTCAATTTCCCTCCATGTAGCCGATAGCGAATGAGGAATAACTCCTACCTAAAGCCGAGCAATCGTGTCTCGCCGAGTTCCAACGTTTCCACGGACAAACTGTGCAATTGTCAGCACCCGGCAAAGAAGCATACTGTGCAAAAAATTGTTTGCAACCGCCCAGGGTTCAACCACCAATGACTCGTCCGTGAGCGTCGCAGCCAGACGACGCCTTACTCTGAAAGTCCCGCCCTCGAAAGGGTCGCTCAGAATGCAATCTAATTTTTTTCATTTTTGCAGCCGCAGGGAAGTAATTATATAACAGTCATTCAGGTTTGAAAATTTCCAATGAAGCCTTCGACTCGACCGGTCCTCCTTCAAGGGTTCCATCACGAAGAGCGCTGCAAACTCCCAACCCCCTCCCCCCACCCCACCGTGGCACACCCACCACGACCACAGGCTCCTCGTCAAGACTCGCGGTAGATGTTTATGATGCCCTCTTCGTCCAGCCTCGCCAGGATGCTCGCTTCGTAGTCGCCGTCATGGACGAGAGTCTTGCGCCAGGCCGCTCCCCCCGTGTACGTGTCCGCCCAGTAGTGGTGCCAGCTCCCGCGGCGGTCTTGCCCAAAGCCAAAGAGGTTCACCTGCACAGGACACATGAGAGGGCTTTTACAATTGCACCAACATACAAGCGGGGACCCACAGGCAATTCGGGTCCCTGTGAAATTACAGCATACCGGTTGTTGTTTTTTTATTTAGAGTCACGTTTCATTTCTGCAATGTGGCACATTGCCGAAGCCACTGGAACTATGCACTATGAATATCTAGATTTAAAACTATTTTCTTTAGAAATGCTTTTTGTGTCTAGTTTGTTGTCGCCCCCCCCCCCCCCCCCCAAAACGCATCTCTGATTAGCACGGTTGCATACATACGGTGACGAAGACGTTCAACATACATACAGGGACTGCTCTACTTACGAACATTCGACTTATGAACTTTCAGAGATACGAACAAACCTGTCCGTACGTCCAGTTGCCTGTTCGGATCGAGAGTCGTAAGTACACCCGCCGTGCAATCGACGGCGGTGGTTGTTCAGTGTCAATCACCGGCTTGCTTTGAGTCTCAGGACCCAAACATTGAAAGGTTTACTAAGGTGTCGGCAGCTGTTCACGATGCCATTGTGTGTTACAAGTTGATATATGAAGAGAAGAGAGCTACTTCGATTTAAAGCTTTCGTGACTGCAAGGATTCATCTTCTTTGGTTCTTTCAGTAAAGTCACGTAGAATGAAAATAAAATAATAAAATAAAATAAGACAATAAAATTCTCACGACGTTTCGGCCACAACACAAGTAGTTTTTGTTCCTTCACCTGAAGAAGGCTACTTGTGTTGTGACCAAAACGTCGTGAGAATTTTATTGTCTTATTTTATTTTATTATTTTAATCTCATTCTACGTGACTTTACCGAAAGAACCAAAGAAGAAGAGAGCAACTGTGCAGACATCTCTTGGTACGTTTTTCAAGAGAGTAGAGAGGATACACGAGCACCAAATGGAATTGGCATCGACATCTGCAGAACATAAAAAAAAACAATGACATCTACATCTACAGGAGATCACACAACTTTTAAAGCCATTCCTCGTGTTAGTGTACACGCCCGCACAACACGTTTGGAATCGACAGGAGTAAAGTTGGACTTACGAACAAATTGACTTACGAACAGACCTCTGAAACCTAACTCGTTCGTAGGTAGAGGAGTCCCTGTACGTGCGCAGCGTGGACACAAATAAGGCACAAGCTGCTTCACTGTGGACCCCCCCGCTCGCCCCGCGCAGTGTAAAGTCGCTCCCTCTCACCTCGTCGCAGACGTGCAACGCAAACAAGGTGGTGAGGAAGCCCGTGGAGGGATATCGGCCGTGCTTCTCACTCCAGGCCTCGCGTACATATTTCATGAACGTGGGGTTCACCACCAACACCTGCTCCACACACACCACCCACACACCACCCGCACACCACACAAATTAAAACACCGCTCGGTCACCGGCAAGAGTCAACAACACCCCTGCCTCTCGCAGCTGAAAGCACGTGCACGGTGCTTTCTCTGTGGGCCGAGTTTGGGGGGGGAAGGGGCACGGGGGGGCGGCATGGGGGGGGCGCCCCCCCCCCCCCCCCCACCCAAAACTGGACACCTTTATTATTATTGCACTCGCGATGCCTAATGTGAGGGACGAAGCGAACCCCTTGCCCCCTCCCTCCCCCCCCCCCCAAATATAAAAGTCAAACTCCGCCGAAGGCTTTCTCCCAATAAACATTCAGTGAGCCCCTTGTACCAACCCCCCTAATAGGCGCTCCTTACAGGTTTTTCAACCTGTTGCACAGGACCAACCTGAGGTCTGTCCAATTCTGTGCGGCATGGCTGTAATAAAGCCCAACACAACAATTCCTGGCACCAGACATACAGATGCCTTTTACGGCGCTTGCGGCGTATCTATATGAGAAAAAGGAAAAATTGCACCATGCGATAGCACTATTATATACCCTGAAAATCTGCGGCTAATCCAAGCACAAATATAACGCACGGTGATTCTTGTGTGAGCTGTTCTCAGATGGCAATTGGTGCATGCCCACTTTCGCATCATTAAACTTGCTATAAAGTAGAACACACTTAATCCGAAGTGGAAATGAGATCCTTTTAAACGTCCTATTCACAATTTTGCCAATTGAAGAGAAAAAATGTTAACCGTGCTTCAATTACCAACAATGGTTGGCAAAGTGTTTAAGGGCTTTTTGTTATGGTCAATGTGTTAGGATGTCAATATAATCCAACTTCCTCAAAGTTTCCATCTGACCATCCTGTTATTTGTAAAGAAAATGTGTGAGCTATTGCATTCGGCAAGTGTATGATAATGTCGTAGTTTACACAACACGATGATTTGTCTCAAGCAGCAAGCAAATATTTTATGAAAAAAAGTTTTTCTTAGAACGTAGGAAGCTCACACCAAGCTACCTGTACGTTCGGATAATGATCTGCACTCATGCAAAGGAGACCTATTGAACAAATCCAAAACGTCCCTTCATGACGCCAAGACCCACCGGTTTCTATGTATAATAATAATATTGAATAAATTACATTTATATAAAGCTACTTAAGTTACTGTACATTACAAAAATAAATATATGTATCACAGTCCCGGGGGGTGGATTAAGTTGCTAAAAAGCAGCTAATTAGAGCATTGCACGCAAGAGTAATTAAATGTGCGTCCAGGCAGGGTTCAAGCCATACTGCCTGTCTCAATCAAGAGAACCTGAGATGTCCGAAGGAGAAATCTAAACATGTCGCCACCGCTGGCGTCGTGGTGGTGAAATACAGGAAGTTGTAAGTTCGATCCAAACCCTATATATTTGGAGTTGGCATGTTCTCCCCGTGGTCATGTGGATTTCTCTCCGGATCCTCTGGTTTTTCCCTCCATATTTAGAAATATTCGTTTAGAGTATTTGGCTGCGATACATTTCCACGTGATAAGCCGCTTTGTTGAGCTATCATTTGTGGGCAAGTCGCTTCTGAGAAAGAGCTGCATAGGTCAGTGGGACTTACCTGGTAAAATAAAAAAAATAGTTTTAGTTTAGAAACTCCACTTGGAACAACTCTTTTAGGAAACAAGTGAAGAGAGGTTAGGACCAAACTAAATGCCTGGTGTAATTCTATTTTTAAAAAATACATCACTCCAACTAAAGTTAAATCCAGTACTTATTTTCTGCTGAAGTAGCCTGCAATGTATGTTTATGTGATACTGCATTGGCAATGGTGCATACGCACAAATAAAACTCATATATATGTATATATTTGTATTCCTTTTACAGCAGTGTTACTGATTTGTGTGTTGAGTTTTTTTTTTAAATGTTATGAACCTCATTATAGGTTTATGAAAACACAGGGTACAATAATAAAGGATTATAGTAGGTAATAACAGTAACATGTACTGTCGAGTGAATACACCTTGCACAGATTATCTAAACTCTTAATTGAGCCTGGCAATGTTCAAAAATAATATCGAGTGAGAAACCCTGGCTTCTCGCTTAATTTCTCACTTGATATTGTTGTTGTCCGACTCATGTCACTGGAGCCAACATTGTCCGGCTAGCTGAATCACGTGGACAAATGGGAGTGGTTCTTACACAAGTTGGTGCTGACTCAGGGGCAGATCGCTCGTGGCAGAAAACTCCTCGTGAGAGCCTCTTAATCTTGAAGGTTAGTTCACGTGAAAGGGTTTAAGGGTCAGAGGAAAATCAGTGAAAGCCCGGGGGGGGATAGTAAATGTGGAAAACAGAATCCTGCAAAACAGGTGCAATCGCCTATGATGGTAGAGCAAGACAAAACCAGTTTGAAATGGCCAAAGGCAAAAATGTTGTTGTCCAACTCATACCCTTGAAGATATGTGGATATGCGGGGGGAGCGGGTAATTTGCATGTGAGGGTGAGGGAGTGATTCCTCAACTCATTCCCTCCCTCTCACGCATCTTTCTTCATTATTCCTTAATATCACTTACCGATCATTTGTCATGCATTAAAAAAAAAAAATTGCAGTCGATGAGAACAAGTCCAACACCAAACTTCCACGTCCACGTGCAACAATTAAGATTTGCGCGCAAACCGTATTAATGATAGCGAGACGTTACAGGATGGGCTATCATCTCAAACCTCTCGAGTGCCCCCCGCCACAGCTGCGAGGCGACACGCTGGGTTATTGGGTCCCTTTGAGTGTACAAATGTGAGAGGCAGGTATGGTCATTGTGGAGGACTTTGCTGGTCGTGCTCAAGCCCTCAAAGGGAAGGCACTGACTGGCAACGTGAGCTAACAGCGTATGCAGTGTGACGTGGCTCTCTGCCGCAGAGCACTAGTAGGAAGGAACGTTGAGGGGGCTTGTTGCATTGAGCTGCAAGAGACGGCTCTCCGCTGAGATGCATTAAATAATTTAAAGGGCAAGGCGATGCTGCGATCACAACTGCAAAGGTATTCGACACTTTTTTCGTAGCAGCCGCAGGGAAACATAATCCATATTACAGGTTTTTTTTGGGTTAGATCGCGTAAATATACAAATGTGTCGTTAAACCCGCCACCACCCGACACGGCCAATTAGTAAGGTTTGTTACGTAAACAGAACATGCCAATTCGTTACTGGTACAGCACAGCGGTGTGTTGGAGAGCAAATCCACATTTACAATCTGAGTACACAAATGTTGTGGAGTTGCTCTCCAACACACCGCTGTGCTGTACTCGTAACGAATTGGCATGTTCTGTTTAAATGACAAAACCTTATTAATTGGCTGTGTCGGGTGTGGCGGGTTTCACGACACATTTATATTTACGTGATCTAACCCAAAACTCCCCATGTTATGGACGATATTGGTCGCGAAAGCCCGAATACGTGTTAAAGGGAAACCTACCTTTGCTGAATGTGCAAAAAATGAACAACGGACAAAAAGTGTGCCAATCAAAAAAAAGGGTAATTTTCACCAGGGAAAACGTGGAACCATTTCGGCTCAATCCACATACCTTGGTTTGTTTTAGGTCCAGTAGGCTAACCTTCTTCTTTAACAAAAATCTGGAGAGAGAATCAAAAGTTGCCTGTTAATACATTTCAGCATGCCGCAATTATGTAAAGGGTAATGTTCGATTAAAACGACTCTGGCGTGAGTTATCCAAATTGCATGGCCACCGTTTTGACTCTTTGTTTAAAATAGGTATACCACGTGACTTCTGGAACATGTATTCATACTTTGAATAAAACTACTGTTGTGAAGTTAATATTAGACATCAAACAGATACATACTTATGTCTTATAATAAAGGTTTTTGGGTTAGATCGCGTTATTTATAAATGTGCCGTAACCCTCCACCACCCGACACGGCCAAACAGTAAAAAATGTATCACGTTTACAAAAGACAAATAGTTCATTACTTTAGCCAACCAGTGTGTTGAATCAACATCATTTAACAACACACCGGTGGGCTAAAGTAGTGAACTATTTGTATTTTGTAAACGTGACACATTTTTTACTGTTTGGGCATGTCGGGTGGTGGAGGGTTACGACACATTCATAAATAACGCGATCTAACCCAAAAACTTTTATTATGACGAATATTGGTCGCGAAAGCCTACGTGTTAAACATACTTATGTGTATTATCATCATTATACTAAATATATACATCCGAGTACCCAAATATGGTACTTTCCTCTGACCAAAGTAATGTCGAATGCGATGGGGGAGGAACTCATCAGGATATTGTTTAAACTCCTGTCCTGCATTGAATGTTTCTGCAGCCAGATCGATCCATGAAAGCATAAGATTGTCTCCGTGCGAGTCTGACCTTTTGCACTTGCTCAAATGGCTACGTGCGCGGACGTGCAAGATTACAAGTGGCAAAACAGGTCCGTGCAAGTCACGCCATTTTTATGCATATGTTGCTCGCTAACGGAAGGAAATCGCTTGTTTAGTCACGCCTATACTCCTCAATTCTGGTTCTGACTCGTGCCCAGCATGAGAAATTGAATATCGGGATACCACCTTCGCATGACGATGTTTGACACTATTTGCCAAACACTTTGCGAGTAACCACATATGCAAAACGTCGCCACACATTACCGGCACTGCCGACTACGGCTGCTGTAGGGGTAAATTCAAGATCTCAAATTTTGATAATCTCAGCTCGGTCAGCAATAATTCCACAAACACCATTATACAAAGAAATGTTTCACTTTATTTGGCTGGATTCGAGTTTTAAGAATTTTACACAATCGGCTTAACTCTGTCATGCTACACCATTCGTCAATAACACTGTGGCCTGAAAATGAAAAGTCTGTACGTGGTCGATGTCTTCGGGCAAAGGGCTCTGTCAGGCATTCAAACGAGAAGGACGCTTCTCTGCAGAAGTACGCGTGGCAAAGTGCAGTGTCCTCTCGTGGGGTTAAAAAGTACACCAAAAGGGATCGCAGAAGCAGTCCTGTGATAAACCTTTTGCGCAGAGGCCTTTTAATCTAGTGCACAGGGTAACGTGCCGCTCTCTGCCTCTTTCTAAGCGTTCATTATCGAGACTTCAGCTCTTGACTTGCCGCCAAAAGCACATTTAGGATATAACTGGGTAAAGGGACAACACAAATGTCAAAGAAATAGGCCACGCATACACCATGTAATTAAATGTATATTTTAACCGTGTTTACATCATGTTGAGGAGTGCTATTGGAGGTTCCATTGAATGCACGTGACCGATCTAAGTAATGCGTAAATTACTGTAATCAGCTGCTACTTTAAATCACATTCAAGACTTGCAGGTGAAATGCTGAGAGTCGTTAACTCTATCATTGATCACGATGTTTTTAGGAAGTGCAGTGATGCAATAAAAACAATAAATAAACAATAACAGTGCGAACGTAACAGAAAAAAGATAACAGGTGATACGTTGGCCAATGGTTTTTCTCCATAGCATAGACAGAGTGGAACATCAGAATTGGAGAGTCCACTTTAAAACATGAGGCCTGATGAAAATTTAATTTCAAGAAATGTCTTTCTTTGCATTAGCAACCGGAATAACCCACATGTGTTGAATGGCATTTCACATTCACCTTTAAAGCGCAGAACTTGTTCAGTTGCCACACACGCAGACACATGCCACGCTTAGCATTCCTTTCATTTGGGTTTAACCGCATGCAATAACGGTAGCCCTCCACCGTACTGCTCAACTATAAATAATTCAGTAGCAGGTTACAGCAGAGCATTAAAAATGAAAACACAGAGAGCAACGAGACCCCCCGGTGAGTGGCACCGGCAAGGAAAGGCCACCATCCAACGGTGGCTAGAGAATGATGCTAGCAGCGGGCAGAGCAACATTGAACGGGCAAGAGCGTGCGTTCATTAACCCCACGCCTCGGGGAATGAACGTGAGACGAACTGCCCATTAGTGTGGAATTTCCCTCCAGGGCACGCACAGTTACTTTGCCGTGTTAAAGGAGAAGGAGGGTGAAGGGAAGGGGGCGGGCGGGCGGGCGGACGGGCGGGGAAGCGAGCGTTTGGCAATGGGGAATACGACTGCCAGGGAGGGATTGAGCGGAAATAGAGGATCCCTGCGGGTTTTAACCGACAACACGTGCAGCGAGTGTGCACACGCCAGCAATGTGACCGTCCTATAAAAGTGCTCAGCAACGGGCACACGGCGCCAGGACTCGCACGAGCACCGCACGTGGACGAGCTGGGACTTTCAACGTACGGCTTGCACTCGTTCGTCGGAGACGTGCGGATTCACGATGCAGCAAATAGAACCCTCATCCAACGGTTCTCAACTGACCACTAGGACAGCAAAGAACAAAGGCGGTCACCGCATCGCGCGCTTTCAGATGCGCTCCTGCGGCCGTCTGGAACGCTCTTTCCTTCCGATATTAGGAAGCCACTGGGAGCTAGGCACTTTTAAATAATCTAGATTGAAAACTCATTTCTTAAAAAAAAAAAAGCTTTTTGTGGTTAGTTTGTTGTCCTTCGACGTACGGTGCGAAAGAAGCTCCGACATGCATACATTTAGATAGCTTCTGCAGCCTTGGACCGTTAAGGACCAGGCAAGGTCAATACGAATGTGGGTCATTCTGCGAAAGTATCAGGATCCAGAATCAAACGATGAGAACAGCGCGCGACTAACGTTTAACAGTCCCTGGCCAGTGTGAAGAACTACGAGCCACTGTGTAAACAGACCTGCAGGGGACACCCACTTTTTCTGATACGGGGCAAGTGGCAAATGATTTGCTCGCATTAAAATAATGAAACAAATTATGGCACGTGTAGCGACGCGTTTAACACTACTCGCAAAGCTTAACGCATACTTTACACCTTAGTCATTGAATACAAGTGGCATTAAGAGTGCACGTTTCCATATCTACCAGGTTTATAGTGTAAACTTTGCTCTACGCCACGAGGATGGAGGGGTCAAACTGCTGGATTTTGAGCGAATTCCATGGCCTAATTCTCGTTGCTCGCTAGAGTCTGAGGTACAGGCCACACCAAAGACTTCCAGACGTACACACACACCAACTCACGTGCGTGTGAATGATTTAATCGTTGCCAGATGCGGCAAGTCGCAGTCTAGAAATGCGCACGCGTCCGCACCAACTTCACATCGGTGATGCCCCCCTCCCACCCCTTTGGAAGTTTGGAGGCGGGGGGCGTCCTTGCAGCCGACGGGTTGTGGCTATCGTCGGGCAGGTTCGATGTGGAGAGGAGAGCTCGTGTCTCCTGCAGTGTGCGCCATGCATGTGCACGTTGTTTTAAAATGATACGTGCTCTCCTGCACTGCGTGCGCGGTGCTTGTGGACCGTGCGAAAGTGTGCGGGCGTGCGTGTGCGCGCAGGCTGGGCCAATATTGTGTCCTTATGCTGTGCGCAATGTGTTGAGTGGGGGAGCGCTGCGCTACGAACCCGGCGACCCGAGTTCGGTTCCCACCCACGGCCAAACACCGGTGACGATTATTTGAACCGGTCGTGGGTCTCCCCTAGGTCGAATCAGTCTCAACTGAGTACCTGGTGCGGTGTGTAAACATCGCCACTCGGGTAACAAAGGCGGCCAGGCGTGGTGTTGGTCACCCACCCCCTCGTGTGCCGTGCCGGCCTTCATAGGTGCTTGCTAACAGCACTTCCCCTAACAGTCTGTTAAAGGCTATATGGGACGTCTTTGTGGAGGAATGCAAGGTTAATGAGTTCTGTTACAGGTGGTGGCTAAAGTGGCCCCTCAGGATAGAGTCATCCTATTGGGTAACTTTTATGCCCGAGTGGGTACGGCACAGGCATCTGGGCTAGAGAAATTGGAAGGCATGAATACATTTGAAGGCCGGAATAATATTGTTAGAAAGTTGCTAAGCTTATGGTGGGCTACGTACGGTGCTAATTAAGTTCAACATACATACAGCGGAGGTGTAGAAAATTTAAACAGGACCTAAGACTCTGCTTTATTGACTCGATCAAAGCCTATGATACCATCGATAGGCCAGGGCTTTGGGTTATTCTTCACACTGTTGGGGTCCCCGGCGTTCTGCTCCTGTTCACATTGGGGTGCAACAGAAATTTCCTCCGACTTATGCAACTATTTAACGTCGTGCAAAAGAAATTTCCTCCGACTTATGCAACTATTTAACGTCGTCTTTGACCATGTAGTTCGATTACGCTTTTTACATAGCTCTACCGGATGAATTTCCATCTGGCACAGGTACAATGCGAAGTTGATCGATGCCTGGGTGCGGTAAAGGGACGGTTTCCCTATTGTTCAACCACGTTATGCGTGCTGATGATCTGCTAATTGCTGCTCACACTTAGGAGTTGCAGACTCTACTGCTGAACCCAGAGGGTGCTCACTATGTGTACGTGTGCTTTTGCTGACTGTGTGTGTGTGTTTGTTTGGTGACCAGGGGTGAAACATTTTTCGTGGATGTCTCATATTAAAATCTAAAAATGTAGGGGGAGTCCAGAATCACAAGACACCCACATTGAATCCACAAGGAGTGTGGGTTTCCAAAAGCCCCGCAACAGCTGCCCACTTGCACTGGCACCACTGTGGTGAGATGTTAACTACCTCGCCTGATATACATGAGGTTTGCGTGTCTCTCTCCCCGTGGCCGCATGGATTTTTCTCCGGGTCCTGCAGTTTTTCCCTCAGCATTTAGAAACACGTGTTTAGACTATTTGTCATTTAATACATTTCCACATGATAAGCCACTCCGTTGAGCTATCATTTGTGGCCAGGTTGCTTCTGAAAAATAGGTACAGTATATAGTTCAGTGGGCTTTACCTGGTAAAATAAAAAATAAAATTAATTACTTCTTATGCAAGACGGCAACACAAGCCCACAGCTGCCATGGGTGACCAGTGACAAGTCACGAGTGTTTGAACAGGTACACGACACTTGAACAAATGTTACGAAGATGATACCCTATGTTATATTGTCCTTGCAAAGTCCTCAGACTCTCCGTAATTTCACAGTCCACAGTTGTTGACCTGCAGACAACTACGACGACGAGCACCCAGTGGTTGTGCCAACGTTCGGCCAACAGAATTTGGTTTAGAACCGTTGGATCAACTTGTCCCAACATTGGCCCGACTTTCCATGTTTGCTGAGTAATGTTCTACTCTATCAATTCTAGATTTGAAGCTTTCGTGACTGCAAGTATCAATACTCTTTGGTTCTATTCGGTAAAGTCACGTAGGTAAAAAATAAAACAACAAAAAACACGACGTTTCGGCCACAACACAAGCGGCCTTCATCAGGTGAAGAGACCAGACTGTCTCGAAGACTGCGCTGGAGTGAAACAGAGCCAAGCTCAGACCACAGCCTTTAAGCTGTGTGAGAGGGATTAAGGTGCCTTGACAAAGAAATTAGCATTAAAAAAATTGCATTTTAATAGGCAGACTTAGCATGATGAAAGGTAGGGAGGGGGTCGACCTGTGCAGGCTGGCGAGGGGGCACGGCAGCGTCCACATGCTGGTGGTGTGAAAAGGGGATTTTAAGAAGCTGAGAAAGTTTGGGGTACCACTACTAGAAAATATACTGTACCATTGAAAAATTAGTTTAATGTTTGATTCGATTTAGAACATCTTTCCAATGGTTGCTTAATTTGAAACCATCTTCTCGGTTGAAATTGTGTCCGTGTTTGTAGATCTGAATTGCCTCGTGAACAAGTCTCTGATAGAAACCCGTGGGTTTGCAAAGAACCTTGGTATCGGAGAAAATTATATCGTGATCACCCACAGCGTTGTAACAGTGATCAATATAAATAGGTTGGCTGAGAGTTTGGAAACAAATCAGCCTCAAAAAACATGTTGCTTCATCAATCATCATCGGTGATGTTCTATCCACTGCTGCGTGAACGCTTTCCCAAGCCACCGCCGCTTCTGACGATCCTGCGATTGCAACCAGCACGTGCACACAAACTGATCTCATCACTCCGTCTCCTCGCTGAACATCTTCTGAGGCGCGTTCCATTCATTTGGTTGCCACTCAGTTATCATTATTATTATTATTGACCATGGTCCATCATTCCTTCTAGCGACGTGTCTTTCCCAAGCCAACTTACTTTCCTGAATGTACGTACGTATGTCGGACTTCTTTCGCACCGTACGTAGTCAACCGTCTTAAATCGGAGGTGTTGGGGAAGGACAACAAACTAGACAGAAAAAGCAGTTATAAAAAAAATTGTTTTCAATCTAGATTTAAAAGTGCATAACTCCAGCGGCTTCCTGATATCGGAAGAGAGTTTGGACGATGTAATTAACTTAATAGTTTGGATGATGTCATGAACTTGAAAGTGTTCTCTAATCCATGTGTTCCTCTTCACGCACGGTAATCAAAGTGACACAGCAGGAAGAAATGGCACTAGCTAATTACGGAAACTGTGGCAAAAATGTACTTGTTAATTTTAAACGTGGCAACCAAACAACCACAAACATTTTAAAACTAACGATATGAGCGGGGCAAAGGGTTCGCGTTTGAATACAACATCATTCTCTAAAACTTAAAAGGGACGACTCCACACTCCATTTTATTGAGGTTCATGCGTTCATGTCCAGTGAGTCTCCAAGAACCTGGGACTTGTGTCAATCGTGTAAACTGAACTTGCACTGCAAGCATCCGGGTGCTGGGGAAAATCGGAGAAGCTACAGCACAGACAAGAGGTGGGGACTTTATGGCAGTAGGCAAGACACGTGCACTAAACTTATATTGAGGATATAGCACTCAGGATGAAAGTGGGGTCAGGAATACTTTAGCTCTGCACACATGCATTCATTCGTTCATTTACTCATTCGTTCATTCATTAAAATCAGCGTATGACACAACGGGGAAAATGTTCGGAATAGGATGAGGATCAAATACAGGCTACACAAATAAGGACACACATGTGACTCCATTTCTCGGTGATGTAAACCGTGAATATTAAGGCACTTAATGTTTAAGAATAATTGGTCTGCTTCTTCTCTTTCGACATCACTGCTGCTTAGCTTTAACTACCTCGTTGGAAAGGTATTCTGACATGCCCTTAAGTGTATGAATTGTATATATTGTAGTGAGTGAGGTCATGACAGCGAGTGACCAATCTAAATTTGGAATGTTAGTCTTAAGGGGCTAGAAAGCTGCGATTTGGCACAATTGCAGCAGAGTCTATGCTTAATAACCAAATTATCAGGCTATTTATGTTTTCGATATTTGTTCAACTCTGCTCCCTCCCAGGGACCGGGATGGGGGGAATGTCTCGTGTGTTTTTTAAACAAAAGAAAAATAAGGGTTGAATTTGGAGTTTTGGAAATGTGCCGAATTAATTTTCCTTGGAGTTTCTGAAAGAGTGTGATGGTAAAAATTATGCATGATGAAAAAACATGAATGTCCCAATACCGATTACTAATACCGTTCGAACATTTCTAAAGTATAAACTTTAGCTTTACACAGTGTAGTAGAACTCTTATCCACGGTTGGCGAATATTTTCGAATTACAATATCCACGATGTTATCTGCTAAATGTACTCCACTTATCTACGAATAAAAATAGCAGACAACGAAAGTGATAGGGGGTTTCGGATGAAAGGGGAGTTTTAGTGAGCCCTATCGGTCTAATGGACAAAATAATGCACACTCATTCGGTCGTGGATAAAAGGAGTTCTGCTGCATCGCAAACGAATTGTCTCAATTCTGGTCACCCCGTGGAAGAAAATTCCTTGCGCCACTGTGGCGATTAATCAAACAAAACAATGCCGGAGGAAAATACTCTGCGGTCCCGTGTATTTCTTGCACCGTGCCTTTGTTTTGGTGTCCCAACAGACCGGTCAGGCCAGAGTGGCTTTTTGCCAAAGGCAGTTTTGTACAAAAATAAGCAAACATTCCCACTGGATTCTTCACTCAATGTGTGCTTTTCTTAGCAGCACGATTACAGTCCAGTGTCGTCTGTGGGTTCATGGTTAGTACCCACCTAGCGTGTGTTCCTTCAATCCATTATATATCATAAACTGACGAAGGACTCCACATTTTTTTTTTTAAAAACAGCCTTCAGCAGACCTCAACACAATTAAAATTTATGTATGTATGCTGAACTTTCGCACCGTGCGTAGCCAACCGTGCTGATATAACGTAACCACGAACACAACCAGTGGAAATACCCACAAAAACACTCACCTTGGTAGCAAATATTATTCTCAGAATTTCCTTCTGCGTGAAGCCGACGGCGACAATGTGCATTAGTCATCGATGGCGCGGTGTGATTGCGGACGCGCAGCGTGCTGTTTCTCACGAGCGCCGTTCAGAGCACTCCTACGTGCGCCCTGCGGCACGATGTGTACGTTTGCAACCGAGTTTTGTCACTGCCGCGCATGCAACGTCGCTTTGGACTGACCTTGAGACATTGTAGTTGGGCAGCTTGTTGAGCAGCCACAGGAAATCGTTGGACTTGAAGGCCATAAGCACGAGGCCCACTCCGGTGGCGATGTCCTCCTTGAAGCTCTCCGGGTAGACGAAGCGATGCGTCGTGCGTTTCCCCACGTCGCGCTCGAAGCACTGCACCGGCGCGTTGTTCATTCTGAATGTGCGCGTAAGCAGACGCACGTCATGTGGGCATGTTAAACTCACGATCGCACACTCTAAAATGTGTCTGTCGTACATACAAGCGGATAATCTCCGAGACCGCTCCCACCAATTTCAATGACTTGAGGAGTCATCATTTGAAAGATTATGGCATTTGACCTTTGACTCGATCATTTGAATCAATCATTTGGATTATATGACCTGGTGCTGCTTATGGGCTCAGCCATTTACAATAGCCTGGAATGTGGCAGGGCCTCATTAAAAATAAAAGATATACAGAGGCCAGATGTGTACCAGGGCACCATGGGAGGGGTGATCAGAAAAAAATTAGCTATCGGACTAATTTATTACCCTTGAATCTCAACAGGTTTCCAACGCATAGAGTAGAAAACTGGTAAACATAGGACACACATGTACAGCTGTAAACCAATGTGTCACGATAGCACATCCTAGGCAAAAGGACATTGCTGTAACTGAACGGTTAAACCCACTCACATGGCGGCGAGATGTTAAATACCTCGCCTGGTATGCAGGAGGTCGTGGGTTCGATCCCGACTCTCATGCCTGTATTATTTGCATGTTCTCCCCATGGTCAGGTGGATTTTTATCCAAGTCCTCTGGTTTTCCCTTCACATTTAGAATCAACATCACGCGTTTAGAGTATTTGGCGGCTATAAATTACCACATGATTAAGCCACTTTTGTTGAGCTACCATTTGTGATCGCCAGGTTGTTTCTAAAAAAAGAGCTATATAGCTCAGTGGGAACTTACCTGGTAAAATAAAAAAAATGTTTTTTTTTTCAACAGTGTTTACTGGGAACGATTTAATGAAATCCAAATAGCTCACATGCGCAGCCCACATACGGAGAATGTTGCTGTCTCTACCACGTTGCTACTCTGTCCAAACGAAACAACTCCTTGCACGATAACATTGCGCAGGAAATCTATGCAGTACAAGTCCCCTTGTCCTGATCTACGCGATTCTGAACGTTCGTTAAACACCTGCCAAGTAACAATGTGCCGGTTCAGCATTAAAGTACATTCTTACAGCCAATGAGCCACAGGGGGTATAAGTCAGTACCACTGGGAGTGAGAAAAGCTATGAGTATACATTTGCTATATAAAAAAACTATAAACACACTTTGTTTACATTTTCATAATTTGTAGATTTTTCTTATCAGTTCCCCCCCCCCAAAGCAATAGTCTGTCAAGCGTACCACAATATTCTCGTAAGCAGCTACCAAGATGGCCTTGCTAGCGAACACATTTGTGGTCTAGACGTGAAATGCTTCAATAAAAGTATCGTTAGCATTTGCCACCCTGGACGGTACTGTTAAGACATTTAAACTTTGCCAGCTCACGGGCGATGATGCTCAAAAGATGCCATCATGTTTCGTCGGAGCATGGTGTGTCCTGTTCTTACGCAAGTAGCTGTGCGTAAAGCATAAACGATTTTCACTGGTGTACGTTGTACAATTATTCGTGTTCATCTTGGCAGCCATGAATGCATTTTAAATGCGTCCAGGAGTCCGCCCGACCAGGGATTTCTTGGAAGGGACTTTATTCACAAAGACCCACACCCACCCCACACCTGATATCCTGAATCGACATTCTGGGTCAAGTGGTGTCCGCGAGCAGCCACGAAGGCCGGCACAGGACGTGATGAGGGAGGTGGGTGGCCAGCACCACACCGTAGCCGCCTTTGTCTCTCGTCAGAGGCGACGTTTACGCCCCGAGGATCCCTTTGCCCAGCCATTACAAAGCTTCCCAGACCTCTCCCCAACGTTTCTAACCGCGATTATCCCTCAAGCCAATCCCTTCCCCCAACCCCCTCCTCTCCACCCCAGCGGGTCTCTAACCAACCCCCAACATTCCCTGAGCAACTCTCCCGATTCAACTTCCCTCAGGCAATGGGTGGTGGTGGTGGTGACCGCCCTCGCCTCACCGACACTAAGCTCGGGAAAGCATTGGTTTCGTAACGTCGTACGAGTCGCGCAGAGTGACACGTGGCAACCCCCCTTGCGCCTCACTGGGCCACGTGTTTACCCGCGTCGTTATCCGCAATTCACAACCAGCACCACCTGGGTTGTCACGACAGAAATGTCATCCCTTTTTGATTGACCGTTTCAATGAACTGTGGCTGTAACAGTTTCTGCGACCTCGTGCGGTCAACATACTTCCGTGGCAGGGGCAGGCCCTTAGGATGTCCCCGGAATGATTGTGACCTTTACACAGCAATGCGGTTTGAAATGTCCTCCAGCATTCTTGTGCATCGCGCTGCTGAGGCTGGAGGGGTGGGGTGGGGGCGGCGGCGGCGACGGGCAAAGTACTCTGATGATGGCGAGAAAAATATGATTATAAAAAAACAACCCCGCAGATACCCGCGGTCATGCCACTGCTGCGTTGTTGTTGTTCGGAAATCACTGGAGCGAATAACTCGCATTACAAATAAATAATAAATCATTTATACTTGTGTATAATACTTGTGTATAATACGTGACATTTGCTGTCTCTAATAAAGCCATTATGCTTGCGTATAATATTCAATGTTGTACTGTCTCTAACCAAGACGTATATTATACAGAAAGAACCACGGAGTATATTATACTTGTGTATAATGCTTGTATTGCCGAGTTAAATACATGATTAAAGACATACTCTTTGGTTCTTTCGGTAAAGCCACGTAGGTAGAAAAGATAATAGATCAACAACAAGCGACCGTCTTCAGGTGATAAAAGACGTCGAGAAATGTGTTTATTAAATCTCAGACCCATGTGTCAAAACACCCGTGGGAGCATGCATGAAATAGGCACGACAGAGATCACCCTGTGTGTATGTGACTGTGTGTGTGTGGGTGCTGCTGTGGTTAGGGGGAGCGGTGGTGTAGCGGTTAGCGCGCTACGCTGCGCTATGAACCTGGCGACCCGGGTTCGATTCGCGCTCACGGCCAACACCAAGCGACGATTATCTGAACCGGTCCCGGGCCTCCCCTAGGTCGACTCAGCCTCAAATGAGTACCCGGTGCGGTGTGTAGTAAACATCGCCACTGGGGAGACAAAGGCGGCCGGGCGTGGTGCTGGCCCACCCACCCACTCGTGCGCCGTTCCGGCCTTCACAGGTGCTACTCGCTAACAGCACTTGCCCCTACAGTCTGTTACAGGCTATATGGGGGATCTTTTGTCTTGTGCTGCTGTGAAGGGGGCAAGGCGCATTGTGTTGCAAGTCCACGGTGTGCTGCCCCTCGCCATCATCCCACCACGTCGTCTGTTCAACCCTCGCGATGACATGCGACCGGGTGCTCGGTCTAATTGCGGGGGAAAGAATAATTATTCGGTGACGATTGCGGTGAGGAGAGCAAAGGCATCGTTAACCGATGCTTTTAAGTTCATGAAAAAGAAAGCGTTGTGTCGCTATCTTCTTGTATTTCTCAATAACCCTCAATTGGCAGAACATTCAAAGAGTTCGCGTGAAAGCGTATCTTCGCAAGAAAGGGAGAGGGATAAAGCTCACGCGGTTTGGAAACTCGGTGATGCAATTTGTTTTACCAATTTACGAATAAGTAACAAAAGTGGTAGAAGCTACTTTTTTTTTACTATTGTCCCAAGATGTTAACGTACATTGCAAATTACAAGACATTGATTGGTTAAATTATGTCGACAAAGCTGCGAATATATGAATGCTATCGAGAAAAAGCTGAGGATTAACACGTCAGATTGCGATGTATTTAATTGTAAAATGGTTTAATGTGATCAGAGGGAATAATACTTTACATGTCATTTATATACTGTATTGGCATTTTTAATAATCAATGCCAAAAGTATATTTACTTTTACTATACTCTAAAGTGTGAATGTGTTTCATAAATACACTTTTGTGAAATGTTTAACTAGGTACAACTACACAATGACCACCTTGTATCACACGTGAGTTTACCTTTACATTTGTAAAAGTCATGTTTAGATTTTAATTTGAAATGTAAAGAGCATGTTTTTCAGAAATTATGTATACTTCTGGCGTTTTAAACTGTCTATAAGATAAATATTCCTTCAGTTGACACTGTACTTAAATGGTCATCATCATCATCAGCCAGGGTCGATCCACTGCTGGATAAAGGACTTCCCAAGCTGCTGCCACCTCTCACGATCCTGCAATGTCTAACAAACAGAATATTTATTTATATTTATTTACACCGAAGAGATTTGCTGCATCCACACCTCGGCACCTGCACAATGATTCAACGTCAGAGTTTACTTCACAAAACACCGTCCCCCCCATTATGAATATACGCCGACAGGTGAAATGCGTCTGAGAGCGGGGGCCTCCCGCCGGGGAGATGGAGCGGTGGTGGTGAAGGCAGCGCGAGGTGCTGGGTGCATTGTTTTTCATTGCAGGATCGAGGGGTCGCGTCGTTGGCTTGAGGAGGCCTTCATCCAGCAGTGGATAGACCATGTTTGATGATGATGATTACAGTACTGTAAAAACACGTAGGAGGCTCACTGGTTTGAAAAATAATGTATTTTTTTCATATAAATTGAATCCAAGTGACACAAGGCTGCCCTTGTGCAGATGCAGTAAATATAACAGGTTATTTATTTTACTCGAAAACCCTATCAACCACAGATTCCAGAACGCATGTATCAAATACTACACGTGCTGTCTGCAATTAAACATTTGTTTGGTATTGGCATTAAAAGCATATTCCATGTTGTTTTTCCACTTCAGAGCCAAAGGGTTAGTGAACCTTGCACATTGTGCTGTACCGAACCAAAAGCCATAAACATGTAGCCTCAAACATGTTAACAGGGGCCGTCTTAGGGTATTTACTTGCAATCAGTACTGTGAGGGTTCAGTTTGTAAGCTCTTATTATTGGCGCATGGCCTGAGCCCTTAACTCATCTACTCTGAAAATATAAAATCACCAATACATTATGTGGCTGCGTGATAAAATTTCCGCCATCACTCCTCAGCACAATGAGTTTTGTAGAAGTACTTTAC